CCGCCTGTTCGCATCAAATTCCATACAGTTGTACATGTTCTACAAGTACAAGTACAAGTAGATGCACCAGGAAGTCGTAGGTTTACGACTCCCTTGATAACATTTCCAGTCCACCACAATCAGTGACGGTCGTAGCTAGGTCGGGCGGTGCGTTGACCCCGTTGAACTTTCGCTGCTATAAGTACAACTCCCAGTACAACGCCCTCTACGAAAAAAGCTCTTGCGCTAGTCGTCATGCATGTTTTTTTGCGAAACCAAGTTGGCTAGTGCTGTGGTGTTTCGTCGCAAATGTGCAGCATAATGCGGCATAATATGATAACGTTTAGCATAAAAAATTAATAGCATATTTCGGCAATTTTTTCAGCAATGCGAAAAGCATAATTTCACGAAAATATTAGCATAATCCGTCAAGGCCTAGTACATGTACATGTACATGTATGATGATTACTGTACAATCATGTACAACTACATGTACATTGTATACATATAGGTGTGCTGGTAAATCCAACAATTTTGAAGCCAACATAAAAAAGGAAGAAAAAGCCCCCCCCCTTGGCTGCATTTTCTTGCATGTGTCCCTTTATAATATTAAATAATAATATCCATCACCATAGGTTTTGGTTTTGGACCAGGCAGGCACAGTGGGTTGGTCAAAGACCATGATTGAGATACGAGAGGTACCTGGTTCAAGTCCTGCCTGGGAGCGGTTTTTCCAGCCGTGCTGCTACCCACAGTCAACTGGGAACTTGTGGCCAGGCACAAGGGGTACATGGATGCAGCTAATGCCATGGGGTCGTTTTCGGCACTTGTGCCAGTGGTTGTGAGACTTACCCACTCACCCCCACCGTTAGGCGCTGCATCTGCCGCTAGGGTTTATCGGGTGTTAGCGGCCGTCGTGAGTTCCCTTCGGGAACGGATACGATAATTTACTTCTTTTTTTTTATAGGTTTTGGTACTTCTGCATGACAGGTACATGTACATGTACTTGACTGACAGGTACTTGAAATAGCTGTCAAAAGCCCAGAAAGTCGTTATTCAAGCAGTGAATATGACCTCGGGGCACTAAAAGCATGTCGCTATACGCGAATTGTCGTTATTCAGATAGTGACTAGTCGTTATATCCGAATGTATACAGTTAGATGGGACTTTGCTCTGGGCATGGAAATTCGGTCGTTATTCGCGAATTGTCGTTATATCCGCAGTCGTTATGTTGACTGCACATGTACATGTACATACAGGTGTAATGATGTAAACTAGCAAAGATGTGTTCTAGTACTTAGTAGTACAGGTAGCAGCGAGCCTAATCTTTAGTGACTTTACTTTAAAGAGGCACCTGTGACGTGTGTGTGTGTGTGTGTGTGTGTGTGTGTGTGTGTGTGTGTGTGTGTGTCACGCTGAAGCGCTGCGGAGCAGCGCTGCCCTGAGCACGCGAAGCGTGCGAACAGTACGGAGGATTAGCAAGACGAAATTCGCGTTCGCGTTCGCTCTCCAAAGAAAGTCGAACTCAGTGACGGAATTCGCGTTATGAGAAGGATTAGCAAACAGAATTCGCACATGTATGACGTTGACACGACGTAGGCAGTACAGTGTAGTAAATTTATGACTGCCCTGACACGAATCCACGATTCGTGTTCCGACTACTTTTCCGAACGAAAAATGCGAAAGTTCGCAATCGCGAACTGAAAAATGTTTGCGAACGCGAACGCGAATTTCGTCTTGCTAATCCTCCGTAGTGTAGCACAGACTCAGTGTAGCTAGCGGCCGCAGAAGCACTGAGCACGCGAAGCGTGCGAATCGTGTAGCTAGCGGAAGCAGCCACTAGCACTGAGCACGCGAAGCGTGCGAAGCGTGTAGCCACCACCACGTGCTGAGCACGTGTGCTGTTCATGTACATGTACATGTACGTACTTGCTTCACCCGCATGCCACGTTCGGCCAGGCAACGCTGGCCGGGTGCTGCTTGTATTTTTATAAAGGGCTTTTAAGGGAAACACAAGTCACTAGTCTTGCCAGTGGTGAGAATAGGTCATGCCGTGCAGCCTGCAGGTCTTGCACGCAGGGCCAGGGCTGTCTACATGGTCTAGTCCTAAGTACAAGTGGTTGCGCGGGAGAAGCACTTCTTAGATATACAATCACTAGCAGCACCACCGGCCAGCGTTGCCTGGCCGAATGTGGCATATGCGCATGCGGCCGCGCGGGTGATCATGTGAAGCAAGTACGTGAACAGCACACGTGCTCAGCACGTGGTGGTGGCCAGACCGCTGAAGTCCTGGTGAGGGAGGTTCTTCATGGTTGGAAGAAGAAGGCCTTAAGGAGGGACGTCTGTTACGCCTTCAGGAGGCTGGTCAGGGTTGTCCATCACCTGGTGGCGGATGAAGCGGCTCAAAAAATTCATAAACTTACGAACAAATGTTCGATGCGCTCTTCACTGCAGATCAGATGCAGAGTGCAGTCAGTGCAGATCTTTTGTATCCTTTTTATTTGTTGCAGATGTTTCTATTTGCAGAGAACGGTTCACGTGGTCCGCAGCGCTTGTGCGGCTGCTAGTGCTACCTGAATAGTATACTAGTATGGCCTAGGCTAGGTGGCTACATGATTCGCACGCTTCGCGTGCTCAGTGCTTCTGCGCGCGGCTGCTACTGCATGCTACTCGTACTGATCGTGTACGTGTCTGCTACCACCTAGCCTACGTGTACACTGTTCGCACACTTCGCGTGCTCAGCACGTGGTGGTGGCTACACGATTCGCACGCTTCGCGTGCTCAGTGCTTCTGTGGCTGCTTCCGCTAGCTACACGATTCGCACGCTTCGTTCGCACCCTTCGCGTGCTCAGTGCTTCTGCGGCCCCTAGCTAGCTACACTGTGCTACTACTAGTACACTGTTCGCACGCTTCGCGTGCTCAGGGCATGGCAGCGCTGCTCCGCAGCGCTTCAGCGTGACGCGTGACACAAAAACAAACGTCACAGGTGCCTCTTCTTTATAAGGAGCGTGACACACACACAGACACACGTCACAGGTGCCTCTCTTTTATAAGTAAAGATGTACTGGGTAACTAATAGTAATACCACGCACACATAAAATGGACCCGCGAGCGGTTGGACTGGGGAAGTGCAGTCATGTACAAGAGTAGATCTACTCTTGATCAGATGAGTAGTGGGAGTAGTGCCTATAGTGTGGGCTTTTAAAAGTGACGTGTTGGCGTAGTACAGTATTATTATTGTTGTGGGGTAGGTTCAAAAAGTCCCGCAACAATGGATGATGTACATTATTATTATTATTAAATTTTTGATAGGGCAATCCCCACAGGCCTAAGGCCTTCTTACAGGGTACCCTAAATGTGCCAATACAAGGTAACGGAAGCGAGAAACAGATGTGCAAAGGCGAATGTCAGCAGATGTACTACGAAAATACTGGTTGCGACGATGTCGATGGGTTTGCTGAGCTTTGCTCCCACACACGTCTGTAGGGCCTTCCCTATCAAAATAATAAATTCTACTACTACTACCATGCACACTGGAGCGCGAGTCAGTCAAAGCCAAAGCCGCAAAGGCCTAAATAAGCGGCAAGGAATGATAGCGCTGTAGGCAAGCTAGACGCCAAGACTGCAAGAGTTTTTTTGCACGGTCTTGCATGCCGTCTTGCCATAGCGCGGGCGCCTAGCGCCTTCACTTCGTGATTCAGCGTGTTCAACCGCAACCGCTAACCCCATGCATAGGCCTCCGCGGAATATGCCGGCATAATTTCGGGAATTATCGGTGTGATTTTTAAAATGGGAATTATTGGCAATTTTTGGGGAATAATCGGTAAAATTTGAGCAATGCCCCCCTTTTTTCAATTTTTTTCCATTGTAACACCCTGATTTGTACCAAAAAGCTTGTGATCCTGAATGAGTTGATCGCCCGGTATTTCAAAAGAGAAAGAAAAAAAGTTTCCAGCCGATTTTCACGCGAACCGTGATTTTTTTGCCCGTACAAGTGGCAAAAAAACCCGTAATCGGTACGGTATCTGCAAAAAAGGGAAGAAAAAAAGCATTATTGTGAGAATTATTGGTGGAATTACGGGAATTATCGGACGTAATTTTGAGCAATGCTCAAAGGAATTACAGGTCTGCTCTCGATATAACAACTCTCACTTGTACATAAACCTCGCTAGTACATAAAAAAATCAAATCCCGCGCCGAAACAGCATCACTCCCATACAAATTTTGTTCTACACAACATAATCCTACATAACATAAACCTCGACATAACACACGCTACGGCGGTCCCCGACGTGCGAACTCTCGATACAACATAAATTCACTTGCACGGTACGATCAAGCGGTAGCTGTATCTAGGCAGCTTAGGCCAGTTTAGTCCTACATAACGTAAACCTCGGCATAACGCACCCTACGGCGCAGTCCCCGACGTGTGCACTCTCGATACAACGTAGATTCACGTGCGCGGTACAATCAAGCTGTAGCCGTAGCTAGCCAGTTTAGTCTTATTGTGCATATATTCTGCGGCATTGATGGTATCTGATGTCGATGGTGGTACAGTGTGTATATGTTTGCACGGTTGAACCCGCCTTGTAATACCCTTCATTTTGAGGTGCATCTTGTATTTTACACACGGTTTTCTACATAACATAACTCTCGATATAACATACTTTTTGCGTGGTCCCAGAGATTACGTTATATGGAGAGTAGACCTGTATCGGTAAAAATACGAGCATATTCCGCGGAGGCCTACCCATGCACGCTAGCTAGTCTGCCCTGTGTGCATGCACGTCCGCACGCGACATTGTACTGTGCTCTTTTCATCCTACTACTAGTAGTAGTTTTCAGTCCGCTATCGGGCGGCTGCACTCCAGCTCTACTTTGCACTTCTCTTAACTTCTTTTTCCTTTGACTTGATCATTGGTATTACCAAGAGTCCATAAAAAAGTCAAAACTGACGTCACGCCAGAGAGATGTGAGCTTACGTTTTTACGTGAGCTATGTATTGAACCAATCACTTTTCATGATTTCTTTCCTTTGTGATCTGGCGATGGTGAATGTTTTTACCTCTCTGTGTCCTTTGCTCGACTCACTTACTCAGACTCTGAATCCAACCAGACGAGTGCCACAACGGATATAGAGCGTTCTTCTCTCTGCTCCAGTTTGGTTCTGACAGTTCAGAGGCTGAAAAGAAGTTTCTCTCGTTACGAACAGTTCTGTGCCAAAGTAGACTCAGTAGTGCTGACTTTTGGATTCACTCAACTGACCACTGCCTATCCAGTTTATTGAGACGACGGAGATATGTCGAAGACGTGGTGGTTACTCTCCAAACAGGAGATGGAAAACTCTCCATCTTCCAGGGATGGCATTGACAATACGAGGGAGCTGAACTATCGTCAGCAACTGGCAACTCTAATCCAAGATATGGGCCAGCGTTTGAAACTGTGAGTACGCCATGCACATTCTCTTGTTCTTCACATTACTCCTATATTTTGCTGGTGGGTCGTTGTGTCTATTCTGGGTTTTTCAATGGTATACTAGGTCCAGGGCAAATGTTTCCGGTACGCTTGAACAATTTCTTGAACCAGTAAAATTCGCCGAGAAAGGCTAAATTCGAACGACTGACTAATAATTGTTTTCAGGCAGCTGAAAAACTGATTCAGACTTTCGAATTGACCGGAAGTTTTTTTGGATGTGAAGTATGCGGTGTCTTCAATGTACCAGGTAGAGATGAAATTGCCCAAAAAGTAGCTAGTCACCATTAATTACTAGTATTTCGGAGTAAAGTCAATGAGCACCCCTAAATTAGATATTTTAGAGATATTTGCTCAAACTGCCAGTTATTTTTGCTCAATATTGCGCACATGCATGATAGGTCACACTTGATTTATCGTGTGTAAGAAATATCGGAATTAAGAATAAAAGTCGTTTTCAAACACCCACGCTATAACCGATACGTACTGCAAGCTGTTGAATATCTTCTGCAAACCCAAACATTTTCAGCCTTCTGAATGTTGTACCTCCACGATAAAACATTTTCATATGCGTTCGAAGCATTTACATGTATATTCGCAGCTGTTAGTGAGGATGTACCGGTATAGGCAAAAGCATGATCGTATTCTGTATGGTAGACACAGCAAAATCCAATAAACCCACATGCGTGCACCTGCCACCACACACCCAAGTGTGCGTGCACAAACCCGCTAAGCCTTACGGCCAAGCATATATTATTATTATTATGTATACACAAATCTGTGGACAGCAACTGTTTCGCTCTGTATTATGTATACACACGTGTGCACTCCGCATTGCAATATGCATGCAAAAAGTTGCTCGCACCAACACACTAAGCAGAGAACCTAGTTGTGGGGAGTTTGCCATTATCTTTTTTTTCACATTTGTCACTCTTTGAAATATCACCAATGATAGCAAATTGCCATGTACCGCAAAGAGCCATTGGGCACAACAAGCCAATGCATGGCTCGTAATTCTTATCGCCTTATTAATCGCACAGCTCCGCAATTTGCAACAAGCACAATTGATAAACATGCCACCCGGCAACAGCAAACGGGTGCGCGTTACAGGATTGGCCTGGCAACTTCAAACAGGCACAATTGACAAACGCGGTGCCCGCTGGGCATGGGAATGCACCAATACAAACACGGCCCCGGCAACAACAAACGGGAACGCCGTTACAAACATGGTACTCCGGCAAACTCAACGGGAACGCACTAATACAAACACGGCCCCTGCATGGCGACCCGGCAAACTCAACGGGAACGCACCAATACAAACCCGGCAACAGCAAACGGGAGCACCGTTACAAACATGGTGCCCGGCAAACTCAACGGGAACGCACCAATACAAACGCGCCCCGGCAACAGCAAACGGGAACGCCGTTACAAACATGGCGCCCCGGCAAACTCAACGGGAACGTACCAATACAAACACGGCCCCGGCAACAGCAAACGGGTACGCCGTTACAAACTATGGTGCCCCGGCAAACTCAACGGGAACGCACCAATACAAGCTGGCCTGGAAACTTCAAACAGGCACAACTGACAAACTACGACACCCAGAAACAGCAAATGGGTACACTGTTACAACATCAGTCCACCACATCAAGATGCCGCTGCCACAACATTCTAGCAGCAACACAGCAGACATGTATGTGGCCCTCCCACAAGAAGCCATTGGAAAATGGGAGGGAGAGAAAATACCAGCCTGACAAGGAAAGGCACTTCTTGTCCGCAGGAAAAGACACACCAAACTGCATTCAACTATCTCCTGCAGCGCGTATAAAGGCCACAGTAACAGCAGTGCAAAATAAATGCAAAATACAGACCATACTCGGCGCAAAATTCAACTCGGATGGTGAGCCAATTACGTTATGGTGAAAAAGGAGGACAAAATGTTACGAGTTATGACTAACTGTCCACCAACGTAACCAGATCTTATACAGTCAGCGAGTGCGACAAAATGGCACAAAACTGACAAGGAGTACTGAGACATTCGGCGACCTGACACCTAGCTCCAACACCTCTCCAAGGCGCAAACCAACAACCTTCCAACTTGGAAGGCTCAGGTTCGGAAAGGTCCAAGAGGGGAAGGAAAACGCAACGAAGAAGAGCACGAGCTACGCATCACGGCAACAAAGAATGCCGAAAGTTACTGGATGATGACGAAACTAGTAAGACTATTGGACATACCGGCCTTACTACAACTCGACGACGCAAAGCAATAGACCACCCAACTTGGGAGGCTCAAGTTTATGTAATAAACGTAGAAAGGGGAAGCTAAGCGAAGACGAATTGTGACAAACCGAAACGTCAACATCCCACTGAACTCCACTATCATGTATGATGGACTAGTTATGTACAATAACAAGTAGTTCCACACGACGTACGTTTCGCCGTATAGGTCATGCTCATCAGGTGTGCAAAATTCAACTCGGATGGTGAGCCAATTACATTATGGTGAAAAAGGAGAAGGACAAAATGTTTCGAGTTATGACCAACTGTCCACCAACGTAACCAGATCTTATACAGTCAGCGAGTGCGACAAAATGGCACAACACTGACAAGGAGTACTGAGACTTTCGGCGACCTGACACCTAGCTCCAACACTTCTCCAAGGCACAAACCAACAACCTTCCAACTTGGAAGGGGATGTTCACGTTTTGGTTTGTCACAATTCGTCTTCGCTTTAATAGCTTCCCCTTTTCTACGTTTATTACATAACCTTACTTACTAATATTACATAAACTTGAGCCTCCCAGAAGGCTATGGGTTCTAAAGGTCATGTGGCCACAGTGCGCATGCTTGCTCGGGTCATTAGCGATATTGTTATCTCTTACAGTGTAACAGTGCAACAGTGGTATCCATGGCAAGAACTAGACACTGTGCGTGCGCGCGCGCGTGTGTGTGTGTACATGCGTGTGTCTGTGTGTGTTTATTATACTTCATAGTGTGACATGCTTTTGAAGTATACTGAAGTATTATTTTTGTTTTACCTCTTTTGCTGTATGTGCTATGTCAGGGTGCAATTGTCTATCAACACGGCAATTGTGTACATGCATCGCTTCTTCTCGATTCAATCCCTGCGCGACCGGAACCGAAATGTAAGTTTGATGCCAAGGACGCTAAGGATTCTGATGTGCATGTCAGGAGGGCATGAAAGAAAGCCTGACTTGGAAAGTGGTGCATGGTATAATATATACAGTGACACCTCATTTAGAAGAACACTAACAGCTTTCACTTTAGAAGAAGTAGCATTCATAACTCTATTGGATAAAGCATTGTGTATTCATCGAGTATAAACATGTGGATACTATGTGTGTGCACCTTTAGAGCCATGGCTTTATACTTGAGACGTAGTTTCTTTATGCTTGAGGCAAATTTCAAAATGTGTTTTGAAAAATGAAGCAAAAAGTAGTATTATATGTAGAACAGAAAGTCAGCCCTAGAAGGAATGCAGTGGAAAAGCGGAATACTGGTATGATTGAAGTCGCAACATAACAAAATCAAGCAGTAACATGAGGCCATGCAGCACAAGCCACTCGGTCATCTCTACTGAAAGCCAACCACCGTTGCGGACAATGCGCTAACTCCTCCATTCTTTGCTACGGCGAAAGTCACTCGCTATCAGTAATCACCACGGAAACAGCGCTGCGCTCTGCGACCAGCACACTACCACCGCCTTCAACTTCTTGATCATTCTCGGCATTCTTCTGCTCCAGATCATCTGCTGTCACAACCACTTGCCGCGTCATCTTCTGGCAAATCACCAGTGTCCAGTAGCATCTTTGGAGCTGAATGGAGAATGTCAGTTGAGTCCGATGGAGTTAGACCACACTTCACGAAAAGACTGCGTGATGAAGGGGACTGGGGCTTTCTCCCAAGCTGAAACCATCCACTCAGCCACAGTAACATATGACGCCCCCTTCCGCTTCCCAGTGCTCGGTGCTAGTGAATCCTGATTCAAGCCACTTTAGGGTTTTACGGTGGCCCTACGACTACAACTGCAATGGCCAACCGTGCAACAAGGAAGTTGAGGCCAAAGAACTATCGTCGTAGGGCCGACGTAAAACCCTATAGTGGTGATCCCGACGTGAGAAGGAGGTTGCTTTCACAAAATTCTCTCTAATCCACGAGGATGTCCGTGGCAAGAACTGCGTGATGAAGGGGACTGGGGCTTTCTCCCAAGCTGAAACCATCCACTCAGCCACAGTAACATATGACGCCCCCTTCCGCTTCCCAGTGCTCGGTGCTAGTGAATCCTGATTCAAGCCACTTTAGGGTTTTACGGTGGCCCTACGACTACAACTGCAATGGCCAACCGTGCAACAAGGAAGTTGAGGCCAAAGAACTATCGTCGTAGGGCCGACGTAAAACCCTATAGTGGTGATCCCGACGTGAGAAGGAGGTTGCTTTCACAAAATTCTCTCTAATCCACGAGGATGTCCGTGGCAAGAACTGCCTCGCTAACTTCCACGGCTTGAACACGGCCACTGACGAGCTCCACCCGTTGGTCAAGAGATGGCAGACTATGATTGAGGCTTACATTGATGCCAAGACCATCGGCGAGTACACCCTCCCTCTCTTCTGCATTGGTTTCACTGCCAAGTCTCATCCTCCCGCTGCTTCGGACAAAGCTCTTCAGAGACTTGTTGCAAGATACGTGGCACTGCTGCCCCAATGGGGTCATGCCTGGTACATAGCATGTACAGGACATGAGCTGCATGATGCCGTGAAAGAGCTTGCTCAGTAGACTTGTGCTCATGGCTGCGGTGCTTGGCAACAACTAGTACTGCGGGCTTCCAGAAAATACTGCCAGGCCGACCGCGCCACACGTTGTCTATCCAAGTCCTCATGATATCAGTTTTTTAATGCAGCCACCCTTTGCAACTGCCACCACACATGGTCTTGAGAACTTTCCTTTGGGGCCTTTGAGGACATTTTTCAGCCTTTGAAAATTATCATGGGCCTCCACCTCTTGCCGCTGGCCAGAGCTGAAAGGACAATGGAAGATTTCAGCTTTTCATAGCCCGTCGTCTTGACCTTGACTGCCTGGAGTGTCTTCACACCCTCACAACCGTACGTTGAGGTGGACGGCATGGCAAACCTTAATGGACGTCATCTGCATGCGAGTCGTCATGTCTCTCGAGTCGTTTTCAGCTCTTTTCAGCCTTGCCTCGGCTTCTTTGATCATACTCCTCTGAACTTTGGTGATGCCGCCGTCGTTCAAGTTGGCTTTCAAGCTCCGTGATCCGCCGCGGTGGCGATTACTCGTCTCAGGTCCACCAGGAAGTCTTAAAAATATTTTTTGACTCGCTGGTTTCACCTCCACTCTCCAGAACTTCGCGAAACGAGGAGTAAAGGCACAGCCAAGCTGATTCCATTTCTCTGATGGATCTCCAGCGAGACTCACGTCGGACTGCAGACTTCTAAAGAATGCATGGTCATCAGCATTCGAATTTGGGCTTTGCGTAGGTTGAACAAGAACCTGAATTCAGAATCATTTCATTGGGCCGTGCGATCAGAGCAGCTGCTTGTTCACTCGCTGCTCCGTTCCATCGCTCTCGATTACTCTCAAACTCAGTGCTAGAGAAGCCAAGCAGCGCATTATGCCCTCGGAGAAGCGGTATTTCAGTTTCGCCCGCCATGGCTGTCATCACCTATGTTGCCACAGCGCAACCATCGATTCCCCTCAGTAGTTTGTTGTGAAAGGTCGCTTTCCTTGCATCATATCTCCTTCATGGCATGCCAGGGAAGGCCGAGAAAGTGATCGCGACTTTATTTCACGGTAGTTTCTGCGCAAACCAGTCCCTCAAAATTTCCATCGCGAAGTTTTTGTTAACGAAGGAAGTAATACCAGCACAAGTTGCTATGTCTAACATAGCTGTTCGCTATCATCGCTTCTGCAGTTGTCATGTCTGAGTCTGAGTGTGTGAAAATTATATGACTGAACGCAGCTCCGGCCTTAGGTGAAAGCTCACGAGTGCACTAGGGCCACGCACCCACCTACCTAGCTTACTGTCCCTGTGTGCTACTCGCTTCTGCTCAATGGTAATACGACAGATCGATTGCACAGCTTGCTTGTTTGATGTACATATCGTGTAATCTACAGATAGGACTCGTTCATCTCCCCCCACCTCCAAAACACGACTACAAAAGGGTTGTGGTGGCGGAGCACTCTCACACCACTTTATGGCTCATATTGCTACTCTGCTGCAATGACATTATTTTACGTTTTTGACATTTATTATTATTTTAAAATGAAAACTGTGTGTCCCATATGGTGCAGTGTAGACCAGGCTGAATAGTGGCGGCCAATTCTTCAGCCTACCAAGCTGTTGAATGGTGCAATCCCAGCACAAGCTGCTATGGCTTCTGCTGTAGCATCGCTATCATCGCCTCTAGCGATGGGTGTCGAATGGTCAAATGGCGTGTGTACTGGTGTGTGTGTACTGGTGTGTGTGTACTGGTGTGTGTGTACTGGTGTGTGTGTACTGGTGTGCTTTTGGCGCGTAGGAAATTGCACTGGCTGCATTGTTTTTGGCTGCTAAGACTGAAGAACAGCCACGGCCGGTGGCGCATGTAATTCGCGTCTTCCATGCTGTCTTGCATAAAGAGGCAACTCCGGATAAGCAGGTCAGTGAATGCTATGTATGGTGCTAGTGTCCATTGTCTACTTGGACGTTTTCTTGATGTGTGACTGCCTCCTGTACGGGCAAAAGACACACAAGTAATGGATGTTCTTTGGATCCGAATTTCCAGCGCCGTGTTTGAAAATGTTCAAGTCTGCTTTAGAGAGTCCACACACATGTAAAGACATCCTTTCTAGCGTTTGCCCGAAGAAAGGCATGCGTGCCAGCTGCAGTGGCGCGCAGGTGTTGCTATGGCAAGTGGTGCGGGAGGTCTGGACAGGTCGCTCTGCTAGTGGACATTCGGTTGCTGTATGGTGCAAAGTGTTTCATTGTTTTGAAGCATGTGCTTTTTCTGTGTATAAATGATAGGCTTAAACGGAGCAGTCTTGAACTTTGTGTAAACGGTATTATTTTATGTTCTTCCCACTCGTCCTTCACAATATCGGGCTGGAGAAGGTCTCCACTAGAGGACACAGTAGAATAAGCAAGAACAGTGTTGCAAGGGCACCACATGGCCATGGCTGGAGAGCAGCCATGTTGCGGAAAAAGTGCTCCAGATGCATGCAGTTTGTCCTCTTTAGCCTCCTTCCCCCCCCCCCCCCCCCATTGTTCTTAGTACACTGGCATGTTGAGCAATACACTGTAGCACCAAATCGCAAGTGTAACTGGTCTCCAGCCCAGCCCTGTTGTTCGGGCTTCCGCTTTATGCGAGAACGTTCAAAGAAAGGCGAGCCGCGGTCACAGCACTCTTCTCTTCTCTTTGTTCCGAACTACTTGAACATTGGTAGCATGACATCTGCGGATAACTTGCGGTGCATGAGTCTCGATGCAGCATTGATTCAATGATAGCCAATGCACTGCTGTCAAGGTGGTGATTATCAGCATGTGTGCCTTTGTACATACACACTTCGATTGTAACTACTTATACTTTATAGTTATCAAGTTTAGTCACAGGTTATGGATATGCGATTGTGGGTTACTCACGTACATTTTATGCATTGAACTCGCATTTGCAATTGGCGATGACGATGGTCTGCTGGAAAGAAGTATTTTTGTTTTGTGAAACCTTCAATAACTCCTTCTAGTATGAGCAGCCCAGTCCATAACTAGGTATGTGTAGTTGACAATATTTCATGTTTTTGGCGTGTGGATGCGCGAGAAGCTACTTATGCTTATCTCTTGGTCTCTTTTTTCTCTTATTTTGTACAGACCCTGGCTCGACTTGATGAGAACCTGCAGCAGAATGAAAGAGACCTCCTCATGACTATCGGTAGGCTCAGCATTTAAAAAAACACACACGTTTCGCGTCAGACATACACTCGCAGTGTCTCCATGTCCTTGTGTGGGTAGCGTGGGCATCGTGATTACCTTCATGATGTGTTCTTCTTTTACATACCATCAAGAGTACATAACCCCGGGGTTATGTACTCTTGATACCATGTAGCAGTATGAAACATCAGGCGCATGTGATTCATGTTTGACAGTATATATGGGCCGCAACCAGCTAAAACATGTCTTAGAGTGAAATTTTTCAAATTTTTTCTCCAGCACCGCGATGCTCCGGGCGGCGTTGCACTTGCATCCTCTTTCGATTTTGGCAGTGACACTTTCGATCATCACCTGCACTTCCAAGACTGCGTCAGACGACTCGTGAGAGCTGCTAGTTTGTCGTCTGATAAACTCGCCCACAAGGCTTCTCCGCTACTGAGAACGACGTAGGCGATTCAGCTTCGCTGTCGACATCAAGACTGGATCCAAAATATTTGTCAAAAAAATTGTCGCTCTGCAGAACCACCGCCACAGCCTCGCTGACACCTGACCGTGCCCAGCGATTGCCTGGCCCTGTGCGCTGCTCTAGCGTCGCAAGACACGGACATTGTCACTTTGCTCGCCAGCTACTTCAACTAGACCGCCAAACAAGTGTTTGAACGAAGTTTGAGAAGATAATCGCCACCGATTGATGAATGAAGGGCAGCGTGAACGCACTCCACAGGAACATTTTTTTATTCCGTCATTCCTCAATTGTTTTACCAAGCCCCAAAGACCTGTTTTAGCTGACCGCGCGCGGCCCATAGAATACATATTGCATTCAATGAAGGACACGGTGTCTGTGAATGCTAAATTGGCAAGGGATGGGGGCACTGTACGGAAGTTGGACCGCTCTCTAGGGCCTAGGGTGAGTTATAACTTATAAATGCTTTTACAGTATGTTTTGCACCTTTAAAGCCATGGATGTATATCCGATTATAAAGCCAGTCTTAGGGTGCGTTCTTAAATCCTCTCGGAAAAGTTGGAGACTCTCCGAAAAGTTCGAGAGCTGTTCTTATATCCTCTCCGAATTTTAGGAGGCTCTCCAAAGCTCTCCAAGCTGAAGAGGTGTTTGAAACTTGGAGATTCCCGTGGTTTGAGATCAGCGCATGCGAACTAAGCTAAAAGCCACGTGTTGATCATGAGTGTACGCATTTCCCTTTTCGCATACGCACAGTGCATACTACATTCGTGGCACTCAAGATTGCGGCCCCATTGGCGCTTCATATTGCTTGACATGTGCAAAATATCTCCGAATTCTTCGAGACCTGTTCTTAGATTACCAGTTTCTTCGACTTCTGTTTTCTTCTTCTCCGAGAAGCTAGAGAATATAAGAACGCACCCTTAGTTATAAGGCCAGGGCTTCATAGCTGAGATATCATTTTAAGTATGTTTCGTGGAATACTGTAAGACATGTTATTATAACGAGGCGCAAATTTAACGATTGTCCAAAATTCATAGGTTAACGAGAAGATATGTTAACGATCTTGCAGTATTCTGCCATATCCACACACAGCATATATGAAGCAGTACGGCCTCAACGGATCTTATTATAACGAAGAAATGTCATCCGTTAAAACGTTAGATTTGCTTCCTCGTTATATATATTTATTATACATGTCTTACAGTAAGTGCTATTCTAACGACCTCCCAGCCCAGCAAAAAAGGGTGTATTTAGATTGTTCTGTGTGGACTTTGACTTTTGTAGCATGGCGTAGTGGGTGAGTCATTTTACATATAAAACATCACTGTTCGCGTAGTGGACTCGGCTGGAGGCCGAGTTTTCACTGCGCACAAAAGCGCGGACGATGTGTGCCTCACGGCCGCCGGGAAGCCCCCGCGGGAGCCTCAGAATGTGCAGATATAATTATTACGATTTTCCAAGTTTTCAGAGCTGCTTTCCCAAACAAATGAACAAAAGTACGAAAGATATGCTTCGTAGAATACCCCAACATCGAAGAAGAAGGATAAAGAAAGAAGCTTCCTGTGACAGCGGAGCAACACAAAGAACGAAAGAGCCTGGCCTGATTGTGCCCTGGTATCTCCAAATCAGTTTTCTGGAGAGAAATGGCTGGGCGAACTTTGGACCAACAAAGAAACGTCTGGGCGAGGCTGGACCAAAGGAACACAACTCGTCCATCACACCACTCGTCGTTCATTTTGATGCCGTCGTAAAAGATAGAAAAGGTGAATGGCCTCTGGAACCCGAAGAAGAAACTAATAGAAACTCAAAAGAGCCCGGCCATATTGTGCCACTGTGTTCATAGGTTGGGTTCCTGGAAAGAACCGAGTGGTCGAGTTTGAGCAAACGGAATGCACCACGTCCGTCGCACCCACTATCGAACGCAGAAAATCCGAGAAGTCACCTGTTTTCTTTCTTGCTCACGGCTTTATTCGCTTCCATTTTACCCACTTCGATTAGCCTCGGTGAACCACAGTGCACTTTTCTAACATTAGCCAAAGAATTGTTCAAAATGGGAAAGAGATCAACTCGGTAGGGCCGTTTCCTCTTCGTCGTCGCAACGTAAAAATTCAACGGCGTTGAGAGTGCTCAGTGAAAAAAAAGTCATGGATATGGGCTTGAGTTGGACCCTCTCCGCGGAAATCTGTGCCGTGTCCTCTCCCGGGTCTATACAACTCCCTGGCGCAGATGCAGCTCCCAAAGCGATGGGAGGTGAGTAGATCAGCCCCAGCACAAAGTAGTCAAAGGCCGAAAATCCCATTCGCTGCATCCATGATTCCCTCGTCTAAAATAGCTAGGAAAGCAGCAATGTCGAATATAGGGCCATGGTGCAGACATACTTTAGGGGTAAACTTCACTGCATTTTTGAGTTTATCGGCAAGGTGGAGATGAAATTTTGAAAATGTTTTTCGGTGAACCTCTGGAGAAGAACCCGCTCTAACTTCTTGTAGTTTGATTTTTACTTTTGGACAAAATTTGAAAATGTTTTATGAATGCTCCGTGTTACTTTTCCATGGACCTTTCATAAACCTTTTTCAATTTTTTCCGAAAGTAAAACAACTGAAGGAAATTAAAGAAGGCCATTCTCCAGAGATTCACCGAAAAAAATTTCAATTTTCATCTCCACCTTCTCGGTAAACTCGAAATTGCAGTCAAAAATTTAGGGCTGAAAGTTGGTACTGAGATCCCGAGTTCGAGTACTATGATTTTCTCCGATCGAATATTCGAGTATTCGAGTATTCTTCATCTCCTAAAAATTGCACACCAGGGGCCTTAAAATCACATGATACAACCCTGATTGAACCGAGTAGCAGTCCTTTTTCTCGGGTATATTAGTTGGGGGTCATTTGGGCTCTCTCTACTCGTGAACAAATGTTCACCACACAGTCTGCACATCAATATCTGCTGACTACTGCTCTGAAACTGCAGATTTCTGTGGTAAATGCATGTACCATGTATGAACGAGTACTCTGATTTATTCCGAGTACGATTATTTTTGAAAAAACCGAGCGAGTACTCGAGTATTCGGTATAATTGTTTCAGCCCTAGTCAAAATGTAATCAAAATTGACCCTAAAAAATTTGCACCGCCTCAGCTTACAGGGACAGAAATTTTCTCTTCGGAAAGGAAAGGGCTCAGACACACTGTTGTAAGCAAAGTGCCTCTGTCAAATTATGTAGACTGCTTGACATGCTACACGATAATCTCTTTTGATCCTCCTGAAGCGCTGACTTTTCTCAAATGTTTTGTAACTTTTGTATGTTCCCAACCTAATTTCCTCGCCCCATTTCTTGGCAGTGAACCTTTATTGCTCAGACTTGTGTACCTGTGTGCGTGCTTGTGTGTGTGTGTGTGTGTGTGTGTGTGTGTGTGTGTGTGTGTGTGTGTGTGTGTGTGTGTGTGTGTGTGTGTGTGTGTAGGCTTTGATGTGTCCGTTGAGCATCCACATCCGCATGTGGTGCGCTGTACCCAGATGATCAAGGGTAAGTCACTTGGCTTGGCTTCTCGCAGTATACCCGATTTCTTGTAGCTGGGCTGGGTATGTGGACATGGGCCGGGATTCTAAAAAGCACATAAAATGTGTTTTCAAGTCACCACCACTTCATTGCTAGATAACCTGTGCTGATAAACAGTGTTACGAGTAAAGTGTTGTGTAGAGTGGACCTGTGTGATGAGTGGGCAAGAGCTGGTTGCCTCAAGAAATGCAATTCACACTACTGAGGATGAGCCTTTCGCCATGTGCATTCCTTGTCAGTTACTTGACATGTGCTAAACTTTAACTAAAGCCTGAAGTACTGAGTGCAGCAAATGCATTTTATTTGGATGAAACCTATGTGGGGAAAAGAGGTCTCTTTTATGTTTCTCTGTTACTACTATGCGCGGACTCAGCACCCAAAGAGCTCGCTCAGACGTCCTACTTCATGGCCACGAACAGGTAGGCGGTGTCAAATGCAGAACAGTAACGTACCTGGTAACTGTACACGACAGCCTGCCCTCCTTCTGTCTCTATGCTAGGGTACATGCAAGCTCTGTGCCAACTCGGGCAGATGGTTGAAAAGCAAAAATATCGGCTATGATCAGTGGCAACACTGACTGCCTGGAACTGCACCTTAGTGATTATAGTGATTGTATTTTGATGGGCACGGCCAACTGAGTTTCTGCACTACTCAAACCGGCAGAAGTGCTTGCGTCGTCGGACAAAATTTCTCAAGACTTCTGACCTGTAACTCCCACGCAATCTCTGTCGCTACACCTGGTTTGTAATCAGGCTCTCTCTCTCTCTCTCTCTCTCTCTCTCTCTCTCTCTCTCTCTCTCTCTCTTTCTTTCTCTCTCTCCTCACCTGTACCCACTGGCTGGCACACACGATGTTACAGTTTGTATTGTGTGTGTGCTGTGCTGCTTGTACGTCACGTTTAACAAGTGTCTGTTCTTCTCCTTGTTATTTGTGATTTGCAGCCTGCACCTGACGACCTTCTGTCTCCAGTACAGGCCCCCTGTGGTGGCGTGTGTCTGCATCTATCTAGCAGCCAAGTGGTCAAGCTATGAAGTACGTGTAGCAAATTGTCTTTTGCATGTTTCATGATGCACATACTGGCCAAGAGGAGGGAGGCTGGGGGGTGGCTTTGTAATACATGCTCCTACGGTTGGTTTCAGTTTCCTTGAGCGATGCGTGTACTGTTATTTCTTGCATGCTTGATTTAGCAGTACTTGTGCTTGTAGCAGTTTGTACTGGTACTGGTGCTACTTCTGCTATTTGTCATTCCTTACTCACAAGTTGTAGGTGCTGGGGTGCTGCTCTTCCCTTGCCAGATATTGTCCTTCTGTGTGTGTGTGTGCGTGTGTGTGTGTGTGTGTCCGAGTGTGTGTCCGAGTGTGTGTCCGTGTGTGTGTCTGTGTGGGTGTGGGTGGGTGTGCGCGCGCGTGCGTGCGTGTGTGTGTCCCATATGGTGCAGTGGTATGTGCAGCGATTTCCAATCGATAGGTTGCGGGTTTGATTCCCGACGATTATGGTCACACACGTCTTTCTTCTCTTTCTTAGACTCCTTCTGACTTTTCTTTCATTCTCCTGGGTGGTTACCAACAGCCAGTGCATGCCGGACGGAGTATGTGGTGTGATGTGTGTGCGTGAAAAAAATGAAAAAGACCAAAAAGTAGGGATTCACTGGCCAGAAAAAGCCACTTCATAGCTGTGCGGTGTAGACCAGGCTGAATAGTGGCGGTCAATTCTTCAGCCTTGCAAGCTGTTGAATGGTGCAATCCCAGCACAAGCTGCTATGGCTTCTGCTGTAGCATTCGCTATCAGTGTCAAATGGTCAATGGTGTGTGTGTTCAGATTCCAACGTCAAGCGATGGTTTAACGTGGTTCAACTATGTGGACGAGCAAATCACGGAGAGAGAGTTGGAAGGTTAGTGCTGCTGGACAGCATTGGGAACGCACAGGTGTAATTCTAACGGCATGGGACTGTGGCTTAGTAACCGTTTCTGGTCTTGTGTTAAGCAAAAGCAAAAGCTGATTTGTAAAGATACAGAAGTAAAAGGACGACTGTCCTTCGTGCAGACGGATGTTGATTGTGAATGTGACGTACGCTGTTGACTGAGCAGTGTACGGCCAGTATCCGGCATGTTCTACTGAGCAGTGTACGGCCAGTATCCGGCATGTTCTACTGTCAGTGAACACAGGTAACAACTACACGTAGCGTGCACACACACACATGCACACACTCCTCACACTGCAACCACCATGCACTCGTGCACACACACACACACACACACACACACACACACACACACTGGCATGAGATACCTGTGCTTTTGATATGCACAGCACAGCAACATTTTGGAATGCAGGTTGGTTTTCCTGGTCCTAGTGATGTGAGGGGGATGTGACACGGCTAGGCGAATGGAAACTAGCTGAGTCCCAGAGGGCAGTGAGACATTTGCTGCACGGCCCGACTGTCGTCCGCGGTCTGCGTTGCAATCTTTGCATTGTTCATGCTCATGTTGTCTCCTCCACACGTACATTCAGCACAGATAGGTTGCGCATCAGCTGCGTTTTCTCTTCTAGAGATTTCACTCGAAGCGCTGGGTTGTTTCGCCAGGGACTGAAGTTTGTGGGGCTGGTTGGTGTGATGTGATCTCTCTCTGTGTTTCTCTCTCTCTCTCTCTCTCTCTCTCTCTCTCTCTCTCTCTCCCTATCTATCTATCTCTCTCTCACTCTTTCTCTCTCGCCCACCAACTGTGCTGTCAGATCTTGTGCAAGAGTTCCTGAAGATTCTTCACCGGAGTCCGTCACGCATAAAGAAGAAGCTATCGAATCATTCCAGGGTAGGTTGTCAAACCATGGATGCGCAAAAAAAAACAACTAGGAATTGTGTCTTTCCTTTCCAACTTTTTGATGGCATGTACTGCTTATCAGGTCAGCCTCTGTCTAATTAGATCCTATCTTGGAAAACAATGTGACGTTCAAGTACCAACCGTCTATAGGCAAAGAGTATGCATCTGTACTTGTGGGTCGGTACCTAGGTACGTAACTGTACTCGCGCACGAGGATCCACAATATGCCCTACCAGCACATCTGGATTTTGCTTGATTCGTTCAAGTGCAAAATGTTGGGAGCACGGATTTCCAGTCTGTTCGAAAGTTGGTTTCAAACCACAAGGAAAGTGTGGTGTTTGATAATTCCGTAGTGCGCGGATGTAGCTGCATGATGTACTGAAGGCAGCGCGTCGCGCAGGCTGTGTTTACATGAGAAATTTCAACCTGGGTCGAGTTCAGCCCGGGTTGAAAGTCTGTACGATAGACAAAATAGGTGAGCGTTTACATGAAGACAGTTGACCCGGGTCAAATACTGATATGCCGCCAAAAGTCCACTTCTAGAGTCCTGTATGGTCACGTGAATACTTTCGCGCGAAATTTGCATGTGCAGTACAAAGCCGATAAGAGCTTGCAGTGCTGTTCAAACCTGGCGCGAGATACGCACAGAAGTATGTTAGTACGATTTCTCGCTCTGGGTTGAAATCAACCCGGGTCAAGCGCAATGTGTCATGTAAACGCGTCATTCATTTTGTGTACTTGGCGGGTTGACATCTGACCCGGGTTGAAACACCTCATGTAAACAAACCAATAGAAAGGAGATCACAGCTGTATACTTGAGTGTAGTACATGACTTTATCCCATAGTACGGTAGAAAACCATGGATTCAGCCTATCAGCAGCCCTTATTTCCTGGGAATATAGCACGATATTCGTACACATTCGTACCACCTTTGACCCCAGGCGTTCTACGTACGCTGGTGCACTGCCACTGCACCAGACCCTGCCGCAAAGGCAGCGCCTGGTACAGTGGCAGTACTCCAGCGCATGTAGAACACATGGGATCCACACAGACACACATGACAGACACCGCATGCGCTTGCACAATACAGAACAAGAATACTTACGTGCGCTTGCAATGCATGGCGTTATTATTCAATTTATTGTCCTAACAGCAAAGTCGATACATGGAAGGCCCACGATGGGAAAGAAGAATGACTGGCACCATCATTAAAATTTGAGATGAATAATCCGCAGAGTATCTACAGCGAACAAATTACAATTTATAGTATAGAAAAAAGGACCAAGAAACTACAAGTTACTAGTACGCTAATAAAATGTCCACTAACACCACCAGTTACTAAACTATCAGCTCATGCGATAACATAATTGCACGACACTGGCCGACGGTACTGACGTTCTACAAATCACTTACTGGCTAACAGCTCTAGCACATCTTGGATACGCACTTCAACAGCCTTCCAACTTGGAAGGTTCTAATGAATTACAACTTACTTCGAAATGGCATGCTAGTATATCACCAGACAGTTTCCTTCGTAACTGATAAATAATGCACTTCAAAAATGCACCTTAAGTCCTAAACCTAGAAGGTGAGTTTGAATTCTTAGCTGCATGTGTAAAGCATCATTCACAGTACCCATTAATAGCACTTACTCCTATCTCTAGTCTAAACTAGTCACGGAAGTTTGGTTCAACAGCAGCTCCAAAGCTCCACAAATTCAGGTACATGTAACGTCTATTCCACGAGCTGACGAGCGAACATACTACTTCAAAGCACAAGATGTGTTTATCTACTTGAACTCAATAAACTGTAACTAAATGTGTAAGGAAGGAAATCTTATGTAAGATTTATGGATCAAAGGAGAAAGCTCCTTCTTGCCCGACGTTTCCTTCATATGACAGCTGAGTGATGTCTTCCTCCAAGTCGGGGTATACCGTATCTCTCATATTTTCCCTCGTACCTGCGGTGCTCAGGAAAATATTCAGCGGTATACCCCTCGTACTCATGGTATAATCCATACGTAGTACATGGCTGTAGTGGTTCCATGTACATTGTGTGCACGTAAGTGATGTAACTCTTTTCACTGCGTGTGTGCGTGTGGTTGCATCGTGTCATTGCAGGGTGTGGCTGGTAATCTTGAAGCGCCACCACCGATTAACTTGGGCCGATCTTCTAGCAGCAGCAGCGTTGCAGTCAGTAACAGCAGCGGCGTTGCAGTCAGTAACAGCAGCGGCGTTGCAGTCAGTAACAGCAGCGCTACTGTAGCCAACAGCAGTAACAGTGGCGGCAGCAGTAATAGCACCGCCAACCCATCAAAGCCTCATGATGCGCTCAAGCGACCCCATGCATCCAGTAGTAGCAACCATGTGCAGTGTCCAAGTGCCAAGCGCCCTTACCACACTGGTGCATCTGGCAGCGCAGTAACAGCATCGTCCTCTTCTCACCGTCCGAGCAGCACTGCCTCATCTGCGCAGGTCACTCCGTCCATATCCACTGGTCATACCTCCTCATCTTCCTCATCCCATCATCACTCCGTGGGTCGCAGCAGCAGCGGCAGCAGCAACACTGCTGGGGCAGCAGCGTCGAGTGCAGCACGCTCTACTGCCTCTTCGACCGCTTTGTTCAGCCCTGCAACTAGCCACAGTGCCAGCTCATCGAGCTCTGGCCCGCGCGTTTCACACTCGTCAAGCTCTGGCCAGCACAGTTCGCACTCGGCAAGCTCTGGCCAGCACAGTTCGCACTCGGCAAGCTCTGGCCAACAGCACAGTTCGCACTCATCTTCAAGTCACCGGCATCAGCAGCAACAGCATCGCCAGCACCACCATGCATCAGCGTCCGGCGCTCACATGCCCCATTCTGGTTCGAGTGCACGGCCGTCTGCTGCAAGCAGCGGCAGCAGCTCTGCAAGTGCCAGCACACCGCAGAACTCTATGTCACGTACCAATGGAGGACATCACCACCATGTGCAGACAAAGCCAGGATACAGCGCTACGTCCCGACCACCGTCATCATCAGCATCAAGTAGCTCACATGCACAGTCACATGGGGGACATCGGAGTTCTCCGGTGAAGCCTGGTGCCAGCAACAGTTCTGTACGGGACAGACCTTCGCAGATACCACCACCTCTCCCTCGCGCTTGCCCAAGCGTGAAAAAGCCAAGCCCGCCACTGCCACCACCCAGTAAGGCAAGTAATGCCTCCACCGCTCCGCCATTGCCACCGGACGTTCCACCACAGCCACCATTGCCAGATGATAGTGACGCGCCACCGCCACCGCCGCCGTCGTCAGCTGCCAATGGCTCTCTGTCAGAGCCCTCCAGCATTATTCCTTCGGCAGTTTTAGCTACTGGCAGTGCTGGCAGTGCAAGCCAAGCCGGGCCACCACTCTCTACTAGTGCTCTGATGCAAATGAATATCCAGAGTTTATCGGCTGAACAACTGGCTGGATTCGAAAATGCTGTTAAGCAACAAATCGAACTGACGAGCCAGGAGATAAAAACTGCCGAGTCAGCTGCCAGGCGCCCAGACAATGGCCACTAGAAGTAGTGGCAGCAGCCGTTTGGAGGACCTCATTGCCCACAGCCAGTACCGAGTCATAGAACACATTCTACTCATAGTGCAGTGCCCCCGGCTATGCTGATTAGCTAAAAACACATAATGCTGTACAGTGTGTAGCCTAGTTAGATGCTTGCTGTGTGCTTGCTGTGTGCTTGCTGGCCAACAGCAGCATGTAAGGTGAACAGTTACGTCAGTGACAGTACCAGTGACAGTATCAGTGACAGTATCAGTATGTCATGTGTTGACGAATATATCTGAGGTAGTAACCCATGCCGAGCTTCGTTTACTTCTCGCGCCAGGAACCTCAGAATTAGTTCGGCGCACTCTTTGCTGTTGGCTAGGCAAGTGTCTTTTGTCTTTTCATAGCGAGTTGTCCTGGTGTGGACTCTATAAGCCTCCTAGTTCTCTGAACTGCGACGCTGTTCGCAACATACTCTGGGCATTTGCGTTTCAGCATGCGTGCGCTCTTGTTCAGTGCTTTCTTTGCCCGAGCGGACCATTGTTACGCACGTGTGCCTTCAACCGTGCAGCTTTTTATGTAAGGCGCTTACCAGTAATTGTTTACACTAGTGCTCGCTCCCGTCTGGAACCAAAATTCTTGTCTAGAAAGTGCTTTCTGTCTCTCTTTTGCTGAGTCTGCTTTCCTTTTTTAACCATTCTCCGGCTGTGTGGCGAAAAAAAGGGGCACCCTTTTCGCAACTCAAAAATATAACAAAAAAAACCGATCGCCGTGTTATTTAACTATCTCGCTGTGTCATAATTTATTTTCTTTACAATGTTTGTCCCTAGGTGCCGAGTCGTGTGCGTCGCTGTTAGTAGTTGTTTTCTACTCCTTGCGCTAATAATAAATGGCATGATGCGTGTTTTTTCACAGTATTGCTACGGTCGTGAACATGGAAATCCGGTCAGAGGTCAGGCGGCCCCAGGGCACCGGCCATGCCGCCATGGGTACGCATGCTGATCAACATGTGCACTGCACTGCATGCAACGGTCTGTACGTGTACTGATCAACATGACTGTGCACTGGGCATGCAACGTTCTGTGCTCACTGAGGGCGCCGGTCATTCTACCGGATTTCCATGCCGTAGGTGTATTCTGCTGTGTCTGATGATGCTGGTTACCATGGTTACGGGCCGGGCATGCAGAATGCAATTCACTATGACATTGATTGATTGATTGATTGATTGATTGATTGATTGATTGATTGATTGATTGATTGATTGGAGAAGGATTACCAATAATTATTTACAAAATTTTATAGATGATGATGTTGCTGTGTGTGAAAGTGAGGAGGCGTGGGGTGTGTGCTGGTACATGCAGGTTTGTCGTACATGTTCCATATTTTCCTGACACGTATCATCAAGAGTATAAATACTACTAATTATACCGGTATACTCTTGGTATCATGATGACTGCAACAGTATATTCAGTGCACTGACTGTGCACTGCACTACACTGTACCATGGTACATGTACTAGCAGAACCTTGTTTTGTTGAAAACATGCATGTTGTTGGCTGACAGCATGTTACAAAGCGGAGGATTTCCAAACACTTTGGTCCTCCGCCTTGTAACATGCTGTCAGCCAACAACATACACTGTACAGACTACTACAGTGAAGTATTTGGGTTGTCTTTTTGCTTTGGTTCTTACTTGATGGTTACTCGCAATTGGCCCGATTGGTGTTGTGAATAAACCCGTTCTCAAGTAACTGTTAATGATGTAACTTTGTAAGGCTGTAATTGTAGTCCAGAAGAAGATTATGACGGTGCTTATGGCTAATCCTGATGTAGTACGAGGAGGACAAGAATGCCAGGAAACCGTGATACGGTTTTATTTTTACTTCACCTTGAACACCCATCCACAAAACACAAGCACACACACACACACACACACATACGAGGGAGCTAGCAGGTTATCAGTGGGATCCGTTTGCAACCGACCGACTACAGTGTAGATCAGGGAATACAAAAAAACTTTTGTCATG